AGAATAACCTTTCAGGGCCCGTGAGTGGCAGCTTGAAAATTCAGGATAGGCTTCAGCTTGAAGTCGCCAGCAGCGTCAAGCGGTCTTTTGCCACTTTAAGATCTGGTGCTCTTTTCTCCTCCTTGGAGATATAGGTCCTCTTAGGCATCCTCTTCCAAAGGAGATCAGTCTCATCCACATTGAAGACTTGCTTCGATGAGTAGCCTCCTTCCTGGATAATCTGCTTGAATTCAGGCGGGAATGTCTCGGCAGCAACCGTATCTGAACTAGCAGCTTCACCAGTCATCCTGATGTTGTGGAAGTTATAGCTGCACTTAAATCGTCGAAACCATCCTTGGCTGGCCGTAAAGGTCTCTTCCTTCGATCCTTCACCCTCGGTTTCCTTCATGTCGTCAAACAGTGATCTGGCCTTATGCTGGATAACCATAAGGCTCAAAGGCTCATTGCGTTGATTCTGGTCCCCCTGTAAGAGCGTAATCTTACACCTTTTATTTTTATTATTTTAATATTTAATTTCTTCTAATAGGTTTCTTTTTATGGTTATTTCATTGCAAGTTACTTCAACCTCTGACCTGTGGTAGCGTGACTCGAGGGTTAGGGCACATGGGTATATGTAATTATGGTATCAAGCAATAGGAAGGAATAACGGTGAACAACTGCAGGTGAATAATAGTCCCAACATACAAATAAAATGGTTTATTAAAAACATAAAATGGTTTATTGAACGTATAAAATGGTTATTAAATGACGTTAGATTCCATGAACAATTATAGGAACTCAACTACAGGGTCAACTTCCTGGTTTAACTTATTTTGCACTGTTGCATTAGGTACAGTTCCCACTACACCATGACTGGGTGTATATGTACAAGGACACACATAAAATCTCTCTCAGCATCTTAAAGCACCATTAGTACCCGTGGCAATGACGCCTGTTACCACGCTTGACTGTTCAAACAGCACCAGACATAATACTCAAACAGCACCAACCATGGTAGTCTTCCCACCACGTGGCACCTTGGCACCCACTCCGACAATTCCGGTGGACGCCTACAGGTGTCCTCGGAGGAATAACACAGCCACCAAATAGCTCTACTGAGTCATGGACTCATCCAACAATGATGGGGGCTGGCAGTAGTTTACTTGGCCTGATGTTCTTATATCACTACGTGGGCAGTGAACACGTCAGGTGAAGGCTGGCCAGTTCTCTGGGCCCTATAGGTGGTGGTGGGTTCCTGACGCTCGGGTTCACGAAGTTACCCGAGTTTACCGGCCTTCATCCATCTCCCAAACTAGTGTAGGGCATCCCCAAGCTAAAACTCGTGGCCTACGACGCCTACAGGAACCTGTGGGTAGAGGGAGTTTGGACGCTTGACTCACGTGGTTGAAATGAATATCAACGTTTCAAAAGGACGTAAAGGGCGTAAAAATACTTCACTTAAACCACATCAGTTACGTTATTGTATCACTTGCATATTCAAACTATTAACTCGGTCAAAATCACTTAAAATGGCGAGTTATAATACGGAGAAATGGACATACCTGTGGGTGGAGGGAGTTTGGGCGCTTGACTGACGCTTGAAAACGTCTGCCGCACTCCCCACCCACACTAAATTACGAATGCCACTCACTCAACTATTTCAATGTACTACGTTACTGTATACTCTGACGTTTGAAACTGAGACTACAAACTCAGTTTCATTCCCTAATACTATTCTCTTTTCAAACTATGCTCTGACGGAGCTATCAAAGGCAAGAATTAAATTGATTTCAAAGGTTCTGGATGGCAATCCCGGTGGGCGGAGCCTAAGCCAAGTAGCGTCCGACTACATCTACAAAGAAAGCTGGTCTGATGGTTCCCTTCAGGTAAATTAATTAATTCCATAATTCACATCCTTACAACAATTTCACTATGAGTATCAGGGTCTCTGATATTCATAGGTGAAAAAGAGCTGGTTAGAGTACAGTTTTAGAGCAAAATCACTTAAGCACACGAATGATGTGAAGTCGTAACAAGGACTGGCTTGGCATCGCTTAGGGACGTTCTGACGTTCCACGAGTGAGGGCAGCGCGCTGAGCCGAGAGAGTGTAGCGCGGCCAGACAAGAGCGGGTGATGCGCAGTAAAAAGTAGTCCGTGACAACGCAAAACAACGTTGTACAGAGTCACCGGGACGTTAAACAAATTTTTGGTGTCTAAAATTTAGCGACGTAATGCTGAAACAACGTTAAGTGGGCCAACGTCAAGTGAGGACTGACTGTACTAATAAATATGAAAAATAAATAAATAAAATAAAACCAAAAATACTGTACAGTGACCCCTCGTTTAACGAACGCCTCGGTTAACGAAATTTCGGTTAACGAACTGCCTTCCATAAGGATCTTCATTTCGGTTAACGAACAAAAATTCGGTTAACGAATTTCTTACGAACCGACCTCAACATGTTTTCGCTTGCACTGGCCGGGCAACCAGCTTTAGTATCAGTCCACCAATACATTAATCGGTTCTAGGGCTTAAATTCCTAACTATTTTAGTAAATATCAAGAAGTTTATACTATTCAATAATTTTAAAAGTTTAATATTCAATTTTTTAGTCATTTTAACAATTATTGAACATAATTGAAGGTAAAGTGACTAGTTTAAAGCGCAGCATCCAGCCTCTTAACACAGCAAACAGGCGTTAGTCTCTCTGTTTTCACTGGAGGTAACATCTTGCTTGAGACTCTCTTCAACTAAACGCTTTTTTCTGTGTTTCCAAGCAAATTATTGGTCATTTTGAAATATATTTTACATATTGACAATATATAATGCAGTACAGTGTTGATTTAAAGAAAATAATCTTGAAATACACCAAGAGAACTAAAATTTTATGGGTGAAATGGTGCCATGGGGTGACTTCTCTTCCACCCCAATGCCTTCTCTTCTTCCTTCTCCTCCACCCCCATTGTAATTCCCATCATCATCATCATCATCCAGGAGCCTTCTACATACACACCTCAAAGTAAGTGAACTTTTCTACCATTTTTGTTGAATTTAGGAAATTTTCGGTGAGCTGGAACCAATTACCCAAAAACCCATTGAAACAATGGTTTCGGTTAACGAACTTTTCGGTTAACGAACGACCTTCGGGAACGGATTGAGTTCGTTAACCGAGGGGTCACTGTATTGCCATTTGACTGCTGGACGACGAAATTTGTCAATCTAAAACCAAAAATACTGTATTGCCATTTGACTGCTAGACGGCGAAATTTGTCAATCTTTTCATTACTCACGAGAGACAGCTCAGAATAGCTGAGATCCCTGCTCAATGAGAACTCTTGGCACACGAAGAAAGTTTCGTCCCTTTTGTGTTTTGTATGACCTTTTTTTTAACATTCTCTATCTAAGATTGTGTGGTCATGTAACATAATAAAAAGAAAATTATGTCTTATCTACCCAAAATTACAAGCTTAAAGGTAAATGTACCATAGCTCACAACATGGCCTGGAGTGGTAGGGAAAGGGCTAGGGGGATGTGGCTAGTGATGGGTCTTGTGTTACTCTTAAAAATACAAAACAAATTTAAAATACTGAAAAACAAATAAAAATATAAAAAGATGTAAGGAATATTATCATAGATGTAAAGTAACAGCCTACATGGTAAGTCAAAAAGCTGAAGCAAACTCTCAACTCCCTGTACCTCTTTTCCCAGCATTCATAAACCATACCACCCACCTTTCTTATGTTATTTAACAATTGTGTTACTTCAAACAACATATTAATACAATGTAGATGAAAAAATGCAGCTAAAACCGTTAGGGAAAACTTAAATGAAAGTTTTAACACAACCGCCATACGGTATGCATAGTTGCTGGCTGTTTGGCCTCAGCACTCACCATAGCAACACAGCCAAGCTGGGACACTACCTCTGCCGACTCCTTAGCAATGCTATACACACACACACACACACACACATTTTTCATGTTTTTGACCTTATGATGATTATTTATTCTACAGTACTTGATTTGCACAATATGTATGTAGGATTCTGTGTGCATGTAACCTATATCTACCAGGAATTACAAGTTGAAAGATAACCCTAACACCTCACAGCTCGGCCTGGTAGCAAGAGGGCAAGGAGGATGTGGAACATCCTGTGGCTACAATGACAAGTCTAACTTGACAAATGACAAATGCAAATGAAAAAAAAAATCCATAAATCTTCAGTTGTATTGGGTAAATGTAGATTTAAAATGTTTACAGTATACAGTGAATGAGGTTTGGTTCTTTTGTAGCAACATAAAGAAAGAATCTAGGGGTATGGTAAGCAAGGCCATGATAAAGGAGCTTACTGGTAAGGTTAGCCTACCGTGAGCATGTACTGGGTAGCTATTGTTCACTGTAAATGTCCCACAGAAATGCATGAATTTTAGCCTCTCGAAGGTACTACTGTATATGTATACACAGGTACTTCGATCCCCAACTTTTTGCATAAAAATTTGATCATTAAAACTCTAACTGTTTTCAGGTATATGGTAGTTCTCATTGCAAAACTGACTTACCTACTTCCCAAGGTTGCCATCAGTAATTGTTGTTTAGCTTTATGTACCACAGTAATAAATATCTGCATACAGAATTACCATGCTATTCCAAGAGTTAAGACTCTTACACCTAAGAAGTTAACCCTAACAGTTTTCTGTGTAGATAACTTTTCCAACTGTTGGCAACTAATCATCATCACTATTACCAGAATGTTACGACATTGAAAGTCATTTTAAACTTCCCTGGTTTAGTAACACTTATTTATTTTTATTTGATTGTACAATATTTAAAAAGTTGCATTCTATTTTTTTTAATAATAATAATATTAAAATAATTTGACTTTTACAAATTGTTTGAATTTGTATGATGAAAATTTTAACTTCATGTGACTTGTGTGTTTGGTTATATCAGTGAAGTATGTGACTAAAGTAATTCTCATTTTCTACAATGGAGTAAACATCTATTTTCTTTATTTTTTGCAGGGACTTGAATGTCTAGCAGAATTGATTCGTGAAGAAATCGATCTTCAAGAGACTTGTTCTGTTGACTGACCTAAATTATTTATCTTTTTTAAAGGTATTGAAAACAATACTATATGATAATGCCTAGTCATGCAAAATCTACTGTTCAGTAATATCTCAAGCAAAATGTGTATAATTTTTTGTTACTCCTTGATTGTGCTGATCAAGTTTAAATTAATGAAGCATGAAACAAAATCATGTTCCAGCTTCATTAATTTAAAATTTTTATACCTGTAGTGTGTTATTTCATAACATTTTTGAATCTTTAAATGCCATCTTTTATTTGCCTCATGCAGGACAACCCTCTTTAGATTGATCAGGAGAGGTGATAGCAACCCTGTAAACGTTTCTCCTAATTGATTGACTGGCTAAGGAAAAAAATTCCCTATCTGCAGGGTTTTTTTTTGGGTGGGGGGGGGATTAGCCCCCCAAGGTACAGGTCAATGACCCACATCAGGGCCTGGGGGCAAAAATATAATAATAATAATAATAATAAAGGACCATAAATTGGGAGCATAATGTGTTGTCTAATGGTAGACCCTGCTGCCATATGGCATCACAAAAATTTTGAACAATTCCCAGGCTGCAGATCTGACTTTCTGCCTCATCTACACACAATTGCAGGGTCTCAATTGTCTCTCTTACTATTGACAACACAACATATATAAATTTTCTCACTCTTCATCTATTTTGTTCTTTATTCTTTTATTCCCCTATGAAATTAGTTGACAATAATATTAAAGCGGGGCCTTCTCAGGCGGGTCCCACTGGTCGGGAAAGTTGTGGACCCCAGGGCCGACCTGATCATCATCAAATTACTGGGGCCTCAACTGACGTCACTGCAGTTGTTGGAGGATCAGCTTTTTTCACACTTCATTTTTCCAACATTCACGGCCTGAGATCCAGTTTTTCTTCTGTGGAGTACCATCTATTAACCTCTTACCCCGACCTCTTACTACTATCTGAACTTCAACTGACCAAAGCAGCTTCACCCAAACCTTTTCAAGTCTCCAACTACAACCTATAGCTCGACTCATGGAGCTTGAATCTTCTCTTTATGATGTCATCTGGCTCAAAATATCTCTACCAATTATGACTATTTTTTCTTTGTTTCCTGTACTGTAATGTTCTTCCAACTCTACCAACTATTTGGAAATCTTTGACTATATCTCACTTTTTGCCATGAGTCCTTCTTATCCACACACCCAACACCAAGATCCTCTACCTAGGGGATTTCATTGTACATCACAGAGAGTGGCTTGGCTCTGCAAGGGATGACCCAGGTGGAGTTGAAGCACTCTTATTCCTTACATAATGACCTGCAACAAATAATTAAACACCATACACAAGTTCCAGATCGACACGATCAACTTATTAACATTCTTGATCTTTGTTTTACCTCTAACCCCTCACACTATTCATACTCAATTTCTGCCCCCTTAGGGTCTTCTGATCACAATCTTATTTCGATCAAATCAAACTGGGCACGACCACCTCCCCCACCTCCTTCTAAACACCAATTATGGCACTATCGGAGAGCAAACTGTCATCCTTGTGAGAATTCTTTTCTGACTTTCCCTGGGATGAATGCTGCTTTTCCACTCGGGATGCCTCAGTATGTGCTGATGCATTGCTGGGGTTATACAGGGTGGTATGAATGCATTTATCCTATCTTCTGCTGAAACTTTCACTTCACAATCATGGTTTGATCACTTCTGTTCTCTTGCATGTACAGAGATATAGGGTGTATCAAATTATGAAACTATCTCCTTCTGTTACCCACTCCTCTTTCATTACTTCTAGGAATTGTTGTAAGGTTATTCTTCGTACAGCTAAGCGGAATTTTATAAAAAAAAAAAAACGCTGACCTGACTAACTCTTCCAGTAAATCCTTCTGGTCCTTAACCAAAAACATCTGTAATAACTTCTGCACTCCCTCTTTTTCCTCTTCTATTCCGACCTGATAACTCTATAGCCAACTCTCCCCCTGATAAAGCCAATCTCTTTGGCACCTTATTCTCCTCTAACAACACCTTAGACAATTCCAATTCTACCCCTCCTACTCCTGCTCCTCCTACTGAACTTATACACTTTCCTATAATCTCCACTCGTAGGGTTACTGGTGTGTTACCCGGGTTGGATGTGAGTTAGGCACATGGACCGGACAGAATACCCCCTCGTGTTCTAAGGGGGTGTGTTGAAATTCTAGCCCCTGTGCTTGCTTGCCATTTTTGCCTTTGCCTCAAAACCCAAACTTTTCCTTCTTGGAAGCATGCCTCAGTTCAGCCCATTCCGAAGAAAGATGACCATTGTAATCCCTCTAACTATCACTCCATTGCCCTAACTTCATCCCTCTCTAAGATTTTCGAAACTATCTTAAACTCTCATTTTCTCCGTCACCTTGAACGCCTTTCTTTGTTGTCGGATCACCAGTATGGCTTTTGCCAGGCGAGATCTACTGGTGATCTGCTCTCCTTCTGCACCCATCTTTGGTCATCCTCTCAGGGATTATGGGGAAACTTTCGTATTAGCCCTCGAGAGCTCCAAAGCTTTTGGCAGGGTATGGCACAAGTTTTTCCTTTCTAAACTTCCCACTTATGGTTTCTCTCCCCCACTTTGTTCTCTAATTACTAGCTTCCTTGAGAACTGATCCATGGCAGTTGTTGTCGAGGTATCGGTCTCTCGCTGTTTCTTTACCAACAGTGGTGTCCTACACGGTTCTGTTCTTTCACCTACTCTCTTCCTTCTTTTTATCAATGATTTACTTCCTCTCTTCAACTAATTCTATCCATTCTTATGCTGATGATTCTACTCTTCACTCTTCTTTACATTTTTCCTTCCCCCTAATTTTCAAACTAGATCTGTTTCTAGAGCTGATATCATTTCATCTATCAATGCAGATCTGTGCAGCATCTCAGAATGGGGAGGTAGAAACTTGGTTAAATTCAATAGTAATAAAACATATTATTTACCAATTACACTTTCCAAATAAAAGATCTCCCACCAATTACATTTCAGGATGCAATCATTCTGCTAAATTCTAGAATAGATATGCTAGGCCTCACCATTTCGTCTAAAATGTCATGGAAGCCGCACATCGACAGCATTGCTAAAGCTGCCTCCCGAAAGCTGGGAATGCTGTACAGATGCCGTAGCTACTTCACTCCTGAGCAGTTGTTTCAAGTTTATAAGGGATTCATTCATCCTAACTTGGAGTACTGCTCTCATATCTGGGGTGGCTGTTCTTCAGTTCAACTGTTAGATAGGGTGGAATCGAAGGTATTTCGTCTTATTAACTCTCCTCCTTTTGATGATAATCTCTCTTCCCTTTCTCTTTGCTGCAATGTTGCTTCACTCTCTCTTTTGCAGGTACTTTAACAGGCAATGTTATGTGGATTTAGTATCCTGTGTACTGCCGGCAAGGCCTTGGGCTCGTAACACTCGTTTTGCCCGCAGTGCCCACCGTTTGTGTGTGGATGTCAGTCACACTAGAATAACCCGTTATACTGCATCCTTCTTTCCTCATACAGCCAAACTGTGAAATGCTCTGCCTTCTTTTGTGTTTCCATACTCTTACAATCTGTCTCACTTCAAAAAGCTGATTTTCTGGCATCTTCCTGGTGTAGATTAATGTAGTCTTTCTCTCTCTTTTTACTCTTTTTTTTTTTTTTTTTTTTGTGCTCCAGGCCCCATTTTGGGTCGATGACCTATGCCCGGATGGGCTAATCCCCATAAAAAAAAGTCCTCTTGTACAAAGCCTGCCTTACACTTATCAACTTCCTATGATTCCTTCACTCTTTATACCTTCAGTTTTGCGTGTCAAGCACTTACTTTTAAGCGCTACAGTAACCCCCCCCCCCAAGATCCAAGATCCGGACCCTGTAAATTTGGATTTCGGAAGTTTGAGACAAAAAATTGGGGGGTTCTGGGCAAAGAAGCATTCCCAAAACAGGGTGAAGGTGGTTTTAGGCTGAAAGTTTTTATCTTATAAAATGCCACAGACTAAACTTAACAGAATATAACTTGCATTGCTGGAATCCTTGCAAGATAGCGAATAATTTGAGTATAGACATCACTTAGTTTGCACAAGAGATAAAAATTTTAGTCTTCAGTGTAGTACATTTAAGTACAAGTTTTTCAACTCATATTTTTGGGTATATATACATAATTTTCATCATATATTTTTACTCGTTTACATGCACACACCATTCTAAATACAAATTGTGAAAAAAGTAAAAGAAATAATTGTCCTAAGGGCAAACCTGTACTGTACCCGATGTATTAAATAATTACTTGAGATTTTATGTCTAGTGCAAATTATAGCATGTTTATACTCAAATTAATCACTATCTTAAAAAATTCCAGCAATGTAAGTTATATTCTGCCAAGTCAATTCAGTGATAATTTATAAGGGAAAACCTTAACGCCCTCTATATGACTGACAACTACGCACTGGGTAATTTCCCTGCCAGCTGGTCAATACCTCACCGCCTCCTCCCCCTGCCTGGCTGTCAGTGCTTCAACTCCTTCTCCCAGCCAGGTGAAAGTAGTTTTAAGCTACGTTTATACATGCGAGAAAACTGTCTCAAGTTTTCTGTCGGACAGCAAACTCGCCAATGTAAATGCTTCTGCAAGGACTGTCACGAGTGCTGTCGCAAGTGTTTGGGAAGTGCTCGCACTCGCAGGTTTAAACGTATGCGCAAGGTCTGGTGCAAGTGCTCGCAAGCAACCTAGACATGATTGATTTTTTGTGCAAGTTTAGTGCGAGCTAAGCTGTCCTACTGCCTGCATGTCTTCCAACATTGGAGGTAGTGAGAACGAAGTTCCTGGCGAAGAAATGGTCTGACACAGACACTGAAATGTTAATCTCCCTGTATGAGGAAAATTAATTGCTGTGGAACGTTAGATCAGCGGACTACGGAAATAAGGTGAAGAAGCACGAGGCGTTTTAACCGAATAGGTGAAACAATGTATGTTGATGCAAATGAAGTTGCAAAGAAAATACATAACTTGTGGAGCCAGTTCAACCAAGAATTGAAGAAACTAAAGTAGAAGAAAAGTGGTTTTGGAGCTGACAAAATGCAGCCACTCCTCAACTTACGACCCAAATCCAGGTCGTAAGTCGAAAATGCGAAGATAATACATAGAAAATCTAAAATGGGTGTCTCTTTTTCTTCTCAGCACCACAAAACTCTCACTTTTAAGCATGCCAGCCATTATAAAGGGAATTACAAACGAAAATTTTGTGAATGCACAGCGCAATCACTAAC